AGAATTTCTGTTCAGAGTTAAAGGCCTTCAAGGATCGACAATTGCATCTTATAAATCAGCATTGGTTGACCCTCTGGCATGGGGTTTTAATATTACTTTGAACCCAAGAATTTATCAAATGCTCAGATTGTCTTTCTTCATTCAGAGACCCCCTTGGCTTAAGAAAATCCAACCTTGGTCTCTAGATAAAGTTACTAAATTTCTTATGGGGCCTAATTACAATATAAATCTGAACCGGGACTGATTGCTCCAGAAGGCAGCCTTCCTTCTAGCAATAGCAACAGGTATGAGAATCAGTGAGCTGATTTCAATTTCCAATAATCCATCATTATTGGTATTTTATGAGGAGTGTCACTCTTTTTCCGACGGAGATAGATTCTAGGAAAAATGAAAGGGAGGATTTTCAAGCTCAACCTATCTGGATAAAACTGCTAATGGATGAGACAAGGGTTCCTCATATAATGTGCCCAGTTAAGATTCTTCAAGAATGGTTAACCAGATTCCCTAATCGAGGCTCCTATATATTCTCATCACAAGATGGTAGGAAATTGTCGCCTAGTCAAATGACAAAATATTTTTATCAGTTAGTGAGTCAAGCAGACCCTGGCAAAAATATTTTTGGCACATGACACCAGGAAATATGCAGGGTCTGTGGTCTTTCTGCGGCATATGAGCCTCAGTCAGATCATAGAAGAGAGCTTTTGGAAACCTTCAAAAACCTTTCAAGACAGCGATCTTCATCTATGTCTGCAAGCTGCTTCATATGTGGTGGTGCTAGGCTCCCCTCCCCCACCTAGTCAATCTCCACAACCAGGACCTTCTTCTTCCTCATCAGAATAAAGTGAGCATCCTCATTGGGATATGTAAATTAAAATTATACCTTCTGATAAATGCTCCTAATATTGGAAAATAATCCAAAAGTTTATAATTATAATCTGGATCTAAGCTAGGACAACCCTATACTCAATGTCACCTCCCTTTCCACCTCCTGCTCGGGTAATCAAAGCTAGACGTGGCATTCTGGATTGAACAAAAAGCCGTTTTATCTAAAAACCAGCTTTTGTGATATATAGTCCAGAATGCGACGTCGACGTCCCACCCATCTTCACTCCTCGAGAGTTGACATTTGTTTACTGCTCGCTCTTGGGCAAGAAATAACAGTAGCAATGCGTGTGATGGGGGGTGCGGGAGGGGGTTTTGAGAATTGCAATTAAATGCCAGGTAGTAACGTCTCCTCCTAATACAGTATTACGTATTTAAGTAATTATTGGATGTTTTAATTGCCTGTATGTTGGCCTAGCGAGTTAATGCTAGGCATTTACATACCTAAAGGTATAAAGCTAGACGTCGCATTCTGGACTATGTCACAAAAACTCTTTTTCAGAAAAAAACGTTTTTTTTTAATACAGGTTGACAACCCTTTATCCGAAATTCCAAAAACCGAAAAGCTCTGAAAACTGAAAGTTTTTTTTGTGTAGCAATTTTTTTTTTTTTTTTTTTTTGGCATTAGCCCACCCGGGCACAGGTCACTGACTCACATCGGGGCCTGGGGGGTGAAAATGTAATAGTAATAATAATTATAATAATAATGATAATACAGTAATACAGTAGTACCCGCTTAACGCAGTCAATTGAACCCACAGGGTACCGTGTTAAGTGAAAACCGCGTTAAGTGAACAACAGAACATATGGGATTAATTGCAATAGAGACTGGCCGGACCCCCAAACTCTACTTTTTCCGACACAATACCTATGTTCTAGTAAAAATAACATCTTAATTTTATGATGGTACATGCACACAATTAATACTTAAGAGAAATAGAGAAATACAGTCGCCAAGTAAATGTCCATTCAAATAATGGACTCAACTCCCTCCCCTTCTTCTCACACTACACTCACTGGCTCTTCCCTCTGAGAAATTTTTGGGGGAAAACCACTAAATTTTAATAAATAATACCTCAAACTAAAGCTAGGATAATTCAATTGACATTGCTGGATTCCTTGTAAGACCAGGAATATTTTGAATATAAATGTCATATATTTTGCACAAAAGAAAACATATTTACTCAGAGTAAACATTATATCTAAAATTTGTATGTCTAATGCAAAATCTATGATGTTTATATTCAAAATGATCATCAAATTGTAAGAATTCCAGCAATGTAAATTATATTGTGACCGGGTAATTTGTATGAATTTTATGAGCTAAAACAAATATCTTCAGTTAATAAAAAAAAAAAAATATTCTTCACACGGTAACAGATGGTCGGTCGGTCGGTCCCTCCCTACCAGATGTGTGGGAAAACCAGAATATTTACCTTTTTAGTAATAAATAATACCTCAAACTAAAGTTAGGATAATATAATTGACATTGCTGGATTCCTTGTAAGACCAGGAATATTTTGAATACAAATGTCATATATTTTGCACAAAAAATAACTATTTACTCAGAGTAAACATTATATCTAAAATTTTTATGTCTCATGCAAAATCTATGATGTTTATATTCAAAATGATCATTCATATTTGTATGAATTTTATGAGCTAAAACAAATATCTTCAGTTAATAAAAAAAAAAATATTCTTCACACGGTAACAGATGGTCGGTCGGTCCCTCCCTACCAGATGTGTGGGAAAACCAGAATATTTACCTTTTTAGTAATAAATAATACCTCAAACTAAAGTTAGGATAATATAATTGACATTGCTGGATTCCTTGTAAGACCAGGAATATTTTGAATACAAATGTCATATATTTTGCACAAAAAATAACATATTTACTCAGAGTAAACATTATATCTAAAATTTGTATGTCTAATGCAAAATCTATGATGTTTATATTCAAAATGATCATCATATTGTAAGAATTCCAGCAATGTAAATTAGATTCTGGCCGGGTAATTTGTATGAATTTTATGAGCTAAAACAGGCAGGCAGGCAGGCAGGCAGGCAGGCAGGCAGGCAGGCAGGCAGGCAGGCAGGCAGGCAGGCAGGCAGGGTGGCGGGTGGGGCGAATCTAAAAATAGCATCTCCAGCCGGACACTCTGCGCGTATACGTGGAAAAAACCCGCGTTAAGTGAAAGTTCGGCTGTGGCGAGGCACCGCGTATACGTGAAATCGCACTAAGCGAAACCGTGTTAAGCGGGGTATTACTGTAATAATAATTATTCATAGTAAATAAAAATTTTAATAAAAAATACACAAAAATAAAATAAGAATGATAACAATAATAATAATAACAATAATACTGTAATAATAAAATAATAATAATAATAATAATACAGTGACCCCTCCGTTAACGAACTCAATCCGTTCCAGAAGGTCGTTCGTTAACCAAAACCATTGTTTCAATGGGTTTTTGGGTAATTGGTTCCAGCTCACCAACAATTTCCTAAATTCAACAAAAATGGTAGAAAAGTTCACTTACTTTGAGGTGTGTATGTAGAAGGCTCCTGGATGATGATGATGATGATGATGGGATTTAGAATGGGGGTGGAGGAGAAGGAAGAAGAGAAGGCATTGGGGTGGAAGAGAAGTCACCCCATGGCGTCATTTCACCCATAAAATTTTAGCTCTCTTGGTGTAATTCAAGATTATTTTCTTTAAATCAACACTGCACTGCATTATATATTGTCAATATGTAAATTATATTTCAAAATGACCAATAATTTGCTTGGAAACACAGAAAAAAAGCATTTAGTTGAAGAGTCTCAAGCAAGATGTTACCTCCAGTGAAAACAGAGAGAGACTAACTCCTGTTATGCTGTGTTAAGAGGCTGGATGCCGCGCATTAAACTAGTCACTTTACCTTCAATTATGTTCAATAATTGTTAAAATGACTAAAAAATTGAATATTAAGCTTTTAAAATTATTGAATAGTATAAACTTCTTGATATTTACTAAAATAGTAAGGAATTTAAGCCCTAGAACCGATTAATGTATTGGCGGACTGATACTAAAGCTGGTTGCCCGGTCAGTGCAAGCGAAAACATGTTGAGGTCAGTTCGTAAGAACTTCGTTAACCGAATTTTTTTTCGTTAACCGAATTGAAGATCCTTATGGAAGGCAGTTCGTTAATCGAAATTACGTTAACCGAGGTGCTCGTTAAACGAGGGGTCACTGTAATAATAAAGAAATACAAGAATGAAAAAAAGATCGAAAGTGAGAAACACGACCTAGACCTATGAATTATTATTATTATTATTATTATTATTATAATATTTTAGCCCCCAGACCCCAATGTGGGTCAGTGACCTGTGCCCGGGTGGGGTGATCCCTGCTGCTGCTAAAAAAAAAAAAAATAACCATTCTGAAAACCGAAAAAAAAAAAAAAAAAAACTAACTAACTAACCATTCTGAAAACCGAAAAATTCCCAAAACCGAAATGCATCTGGTTCCAACGATTTCGGATAAGGGATTGTCAACCTGTAATACATATCAAGATTTAGTTATTGTTTATATGAAAATTTAACTTTTTTTTAATTATATTTTGGTTGTAAATACAAATGAAATAAGGATGTAAATTGAATTGGGTCCTAAATTATCTATGGTCTTAAATATGAAAAGTTGTTGGTCAAACCACTGTTATCAGAGGCTTTACTGTATTCTGAGGATAATACAACTCATGTTACATTTACACTAGTCTCTAGAATATACACTTAATAGGGGTGAAATTAAGAGTGACTTTGGGTTAAATGTGGGCCAACAATGCACAAAATCACCCAGACCTACTTAATGGGATATGTATTATAAACCCCGAGGACACGAGTACCAAGGAAAAACTGGCATTCAGTTGAATAGTCACGAGTCTTGACAGACCTTTAAGGGAAGGAAATAGTAAATGATCTATCTACATGATTAACAGAATCACCTAGGGTGATGTAAGCAATTCTTGTTTGAGAACTGAAGGGCTTCCTGAAAGCTGCCCAGTATGGTTAAAGTTACTGACAAAGGATTAGGTAGACAATATGCTTGTACTGTACATACACATCTGTACTTACCATTAATAAGATAATAGACACTTGCAAAAAGGCAAGAGTTGTCTGAGGGAACAATTTTCTTCAGAAGGATACCTTTCTGGTTCATAAGTGAAGGCACTTTTGTATCTGTGACACTAGGTGTTGGGATGTCTGGACCACAACTAGGTATCGTTAGCAATTCTTGTGGTATGCAAGTCTGAAATAAAAGTTTATATTATGCATACACAGTATAAGCATACAATGTTACAAATTAAGAATACCAATAAGAAATGAATATTGTACAGTCACAGTCAAAAGTAATCATCCACTCCACCAAGTAACCTTTGCATCTGGCTGTGGTCCTGTCTGCATGGTAAGTCACATGGGGTGGAGAGGGGTGTGTTAATTTGGGGGAGAGCCACTTGTTGGGGAGGGTGGTATGTGATGCAAATTGCTCATCAGAAAAAGAGAGGATTGAAGAAAGTACAGAAATTCATGAAAGAAGGAAGAGAAGGATAGATGTAATTTTTTCTCACCATATTATCATAGGTTTACATGCTTGAAAGAGTAATAGACGAGGACCCTTATTTTAAGATTAATATAATGTGCCAGCCAGTTCCTTATTTATAGTTTTTTCGGGTTGTTGTTCAGGCTTTAAGCAATGATAATTAGATATTTATAATAATGTTGATATGAGGAGAAATATTGAATACAAGGATGGAAATAAAAATAATTTGTAATATTTACCAACACAGGTCATCCAGAATCTCAATAGCCTGCCCAATGTCCTCTTTGCCTGTCAAACTCCCCATCCTAAAATTATATCATATACAGTACTGTACAGTGATATCCAAGTTAGCCGGAAAAATTGGTGCAGAGATTTCCAGGTAACCAGACGACTTTCTTAAAGCCAGAAAAATCCCCCGGTCCCTACCCCGGAATACCCAAGCTTTCAAGAATGAAGCCTCCTCACCTGGTCGTAAAGTAAGTAAGGAACAATTTTCGGCATTGTGTTGCGCGAACACAGACGGTATGCACCGTTTAAAGTTAGTGGTGGTGGGGAGATCATCACGCCCGCGAATTTTGAAAGACGTGATGCACCATCTACCAGTGCATTATTACCACTCCAAGAAATCGTGGTTCAACATGCAAATCTTTAATGAGTGATTTTTCTCGCATTTCATTCCTGTGGTTCAAAAATATCAAGAAGATGTCTGTTACCGCAAGCAGTAATGAGTAGGATGACACATAAACAAACATTATGTTTGGCTGTAAGTCATGTCATGTTTATTGGGTGTGCCTGCCCGTATACAGTATGTAGAGTGTTGAGATGGTTGAAGATGAGAGACCTAGAGGAGGTGAGGTGTTGGGTCGTAGTAAGGGAGCTTGTTTGTGTATAATCACCTGACTCAGCAGTCCTCACCCATCGAGAGAGGGTTGGGGAGGCGACAGCAGGGTATCGGCACTGTAGCTATTCAGACCACAGAGGCAACACCTAACCTGGTTTCTCTTGAGACTTTCAACACGTAAGTTTAACTAGTACTTATTGTGTACACAGGTAGGCTATGTCCATTGCATCGTTTAACATTGTGACAACCTAAAATATGGCAAATTAAGTACTCATTGTAAGTGTTAAGATTAGACTAATTACATAGCTATGATTGTCATGTATGATTTAGTTTAAATACTAAAATGAATTGTATTCAACAGATTTGACCAAATTATAATGTTCGAGTTTGACGTCACAAGTCTAATTATCCTTTAACCGCCTGATTGGCGGTTATAATGTCCTCAAACTTCCTGCTGCTGAGGTGAAGGCACTACTAATTTTGGACAACACACCTGCTCACCCAGGTGCTGACAAGATTGTCAGTAATGATGGTAAAATAAGATGCATGTTCTTGCCACCCAATGTTACCTCCCTGATCCAGCCAATGGATCAGGGTATAATTGTAGCCTGCAAGAGAATATACCAACGAAGATATCTGGACGAAGTTCTTGCGGTTATAGAAGAAGATGAAGATCTTACGGAAGACACACGAGGACAAAGAACTGTTAATAACATCAAGAACTACAACCTCAAGTCTGCAATATTCAACTTAGCAGCTTCATGGAAGGCACTGAAGACTACCACTCTAGCCAATGCTTGGAAAAAGCTTCTGTACAATGTGGAGGTAGAATATGATTTCGAAGGATTCGAGGCAAAGGACTTTCATCGTATCCTTCAGAGGGCGGGCGAAAATGATGTCACAGAAGACGACATCAGAAACTGGCTAGAAGACACAGAGGGTGACCCTGGATACCAAGTCTTAACAGAAGATGAAATAGCGGATGAAGTTCTCATTGGTAACAGCAGAGATAGTGAAGATGAGGAAGACGAGAATCCACTGATAATCTCATTTCGTACATTGAATTGTCAGCAGAAACTGATGATGTTCAGCAATACTATCAACATATTAGAGCCTTTAGGGAACTCATTATCCAGAGGCAGTGTCATCAAGGTAAATAGATCTTGTTTGAGAATTAGGGGGAAGGGGAAAATCTGAAGAAGAGTGAAGAGTAGAATCATCAGCGCAAGAATGGATAGAATTAGTCGTAGTGTGAAGTAAATCATTGATAAAAAGAAGGAAGATAGTAGGTGAAAGAACAGAACCCTGTGGGACACCACTATTGGTAGAGAAAGAGCGCGAGATCGATCCCTGTACAACAACTGCCATGGATCGGTTCTCAAAGAGGCTATAAATTAGAGAACAAAGTGGGGGAAAGAAACCATAAGAGGGAAGTTAATGTTCATTACAAAAAAGAGCTGTTCACAGACATATGTACTTCCAAACATGGACATAGACTTTGAGGCAAAACACTTAATCCTGGGATAATTTGGTCTCACATATTGATAAAATGTGCCAACATCAACACTCTAAAACTTATTCCTCAAAACAGAATCACACTGGAGATCAATTAATTCTAACTGAAGATGTTCTGGTACCTCATTAACACTAACAAAGAATGGGTTCTGAAAAATGGAAAATCTTTCACAAGGTATTTAAAGTCAGCAAATCTTTATTGGAACTCATTCCTTAACTTGCAATCTTGTTGCAGAGCTTTTCTTTGTTGGTATCAACATGAAGCTCAAGTGTGCCTTGCAGAGACTTTAAGGTCGGAAAATGTGAAAGTTGCCTTTCAAAAAGCTGCAGTTTCACCTCAAAGGCACAAATGCAGTTGTTACCGCAAGCAGTAATGAGTAGGATGACACATAAGCAAACATTATGTTTGGCTGTAAGTCATGTCATGTTTATTGGGTGTGCCTGCCCGTATACAGTATATAGAGTGTTGAGATGGTGGAGATGGAGAGACCCAGAGGAGGTTGAGGTGTTGGGTGGTAGTAAGGGGAGCTTGTTTGTGTATAAACGCCTGACCCAGCAAATTTGGCCAGCCAGGGCTGGCATGCGATGCTGTGCAGGGACTGGCACTGTAGCTATCCTCATCATAAAGACAACACCTAACCTGTTTTCTCTTGAGACTTTCAACACGTAAGTTTTATTTGTACTTAAGTTTACACAGGTAGACTGTGTCGATTGCATCGGTTATCATTGTGACAACATAGAAATATGGCAAATTAAATACTCATTATAAGTGTTAAGATTAGATTAATTACATACCTATGATTGTTATGTGAATATATATTGGATTAAGCATTTATGTATGATTGCCTATGTATAATTTATCTGAAATACTAAAATGAATTGTATTCAACAGGTTTGACCGAATTATAACGTCCGAGTTTAACGTGAAGAATCTGATTAACCTTTAAACGTCCAGAAGGCGCTTATAGCAGTCATACAACTCTGTTACCAATTTGTTGTGTCCTTGCATCATTGTGTTCAGGTAATTTAAGCGCTCTGTAATATCCACCACGAAAGCTAGAATTTTAACCTAATCATTATCTTTCAATTCATGCACATCCTCTCCTTCCTGTTCCATCAACATCTGTATTTCACTACACAGTTCATTAAATTGATTCAGTACGACTCTCTGACTTAACCAGAGAACATCAGTGTGATATGGCAGTCCATGTGTGCTCTCATTTTTCTCCAAAAAGCAGTTGAACTGTCTGTGGTTCAGACCTCGTACTCATACAAGGTTTACTGTCTTTATAATGACATCTATGACATAAACCATCTTTTATGTTTTACTGCACAACACTTCTCTATGTATAATGCAATGCAAATTATGAAATTAATGTTTTGGGTTCACAGCTAGGAGTTTTTCCTTTAATTTTGTTGCCACACCAGCTTTTCTACCCACCATTTGCAGTGCTCCATCTGTAACCAGACTCACAGTTTGTACCCAGTCAACACCTAATTTATCCAGTGCCCCTACCAAGCTCGTGAAGATGTCATCACCTGTTGTTGTTCCTTTCATTGGTGCCAGTTCCACAAACTCTTCAGTTAACTACATATTTTCATCCACACCACATATAAAAGCTGCAAGTTGTGCTGCATCAGTTATATCGGTACTTTCATCAATTGCAATAGAAAATGCAGTAAAGTTCTTCACTTTGTCTTTGAGTTGACCATTAATATTCTCTGATAATTAATTAATTTTCTTTGCATCTTCTTCAGAGGCTAATATTTGCAAATGCTTGATGTTTTTCTGGGCAAATATCTTCTGAAGCTATCAATATACTGCACATTTCTTTATGAAGTTACCTTCATAAAATGGCTTCGATGACACCGTTATTTCATGGGCAATCCTGGAACTTGCCTTAGCTGCAGCATCACTGACTTGATGAACACTCTAAAATACTGACTGCTGTTTTTCCAATGATTGCACTAACTCATTAACTTTGTCTTCACGTACCTTGCCACTACAGTATTACCCCGATTTACGCGTTTTTTTTTACGTGATTCCATGTTTACGCGGTACCCTGCCAGACCCGGAATGTTCACTTTACGCGGTGCATGTACTCTTTTACGCGGAGAGCGGCTGGCGGTCATCTCGCGCCGCGCCATTTTTTGATTCAAACCTCCCGCCATCTCTCCCGCCATCCCGCCATGTTGGGTAAGCAGTGCGAGTAGGTTGCGTAGTGTATGTCTTTGTTGCGTGATCGGTGACGTCATATTACGTATCGGACAGTGATTGGGCCAAGCATCCTTACCTCCCTCCCCCGCTAGCTGTGATTGGTTTAATGTTATATGACGTGCCCCGCCGCGGGAG